CTCACATGCTGATTCCACAAACGCCAGCAATGCTACGAAGAAATCTGTGGTCAAAACACAGTATTTGCTTCATGTCTTATACTTCCAACGGCTATGCCTCACAGTCGTATAACAAGATAGAACGAACTGTTGTGCAGTACACTCGTCTTTTGACAGATAGTGGGATATCTCGCCAGTTGACGCCACAGATTACGCAAGGTGGTAACTGCCAAACAGGTATTCTGTATCCGAGCTGAGATTTCGTCAATAACCAGGCCGTTCGAGGTGATGCAACTCTTCAAGTGAAGTGGTCGACACATCCCACCACTTCACTTCCTGTCATTAAACTGGGAGTGGATGAAGACCAGTTCTGAGGCATCATCTAACATCTGACAGGTGTGAAACGCATGGCAAATATAGTCATATTTCTACTTAGGGCGTTCACAAGACTCTGGATCTTGTCGGCCTCTTGACCTGGAAGGATAATATAGTCACTGGTCACTTCATTTGTTTGGGGGAGTTGCATCATGTGAACATGTAGGTTTTTGGCAAAAGCTAATAAAAACGGCCCGTTGCACGTTTGCCAACTGATTTCATATCTCGCGCTGGTGAGATATCTGACTACCCATCAAAAAACAAGTATACTGAGCTGAAGTCCGTTCTATCCTATTATGCGACTGTGAGGCATGACCTTTGAAAGTAAAGGATATGAAGAGGTACAGGTTCTCGAATACAGGTGTTTTTGCAGCACTGGTTGCGTGGAGCGGAATCACTGTATTAGCAACGTCGAGGTTATTTGAACAGTACTAGGTAGATCAATAAGGTTGTGACCCTCCGCCAGCTGGAGTGGCTTGGATGTGTTGCGCATACTGAGCCATCCCCTATCTCAACGAGGAGTGTTATCCGAAGTAGAACTGAGTTGGGAAAAGATTCAGGGTGGTAGCACCGATTCATGAAATCTCAGACTGCTGATCATAGCTGTATAGGGAGGTGTATACTTCTTGACTAGGGTCTTCAAGATAGTAGGGATTTATGTTTGAAGACCTTTGGTGACGAGGTTGAAAATCGATCACAATAGCGCGGATGTATTTGCTCTTTGATGTCATATGAAGCTTGAACATTCTCACTAACTCTGATTTCGTAAGTCTCTTCTACTTCCATACAATTTTGTCTACTATTTTATCATTCATCTTCTACTCCTCTGTTTTTTGCATTCTGCTTTGAAGTGTGGCAGACCAGACTTATGCAATCCTGTGAGAGGTTCCACATTGATTTATTTGTCTGTCCCTTTATGAGAACAAACAGCATATGACTTTGAGGCCTGGACTAAGGAGAAGTACCTCGAATGTAAACTGAAACGAGGTCTAAGCAATGACCACGAGAAGTAGCAGGTAGCGAAGGCTAGAGAGATGGAAAATACAATTCAATCGGTCTCCAGCAATTATTCCGTTGCCCTCTATCTAGTTGAATGTTGAGTGAGACATTGAGACATAGCCTTCAACTCTTGCCAAAGTAAGGAAGGCTATAAGTGACCTAAAATTAGGAGAAGCAAAAGGATCAGATGGAGTGGAATCGGAGCTACCTAAACCAAGGGGTGGTTGATGATTAAGCACGAAGTTAACTGGTTTTCTCTGACTAGTCTCAATAAATGAGTACCCTAGCCTTCAAAAGAAAAACGAGAAACCCTCTTGTGCCAACTACCAAGTAACCATTCTGAGGAACATAGTGTTCAAAACTATAGGTTCTATGATTCCTAGACGTCTAAGTGGAGATCGGGAAATGCAAACTAGAAAAAACAATACAGGTTTCAGATCTGGTGGTGGGCGTATCCACCAGATACCCTCCACCAGGTATCACAACACAGACTCACTTATCGATACCGACATTTCTTGACCTGAAAGTGGCGTTCGACTCCGACAACCGTGAGGTATTTTGACAGTGTCACCAAGTGAAAAGACTGTCAGGCAAGTACATCACCCTGTTGAAGGCCGTGGTCGAACACTCATTATCATGTAAGACCTTGTGGTGAGGTATCAGATGGGTTATATACGTTAAGTGGTGTTCATCCGTTCTTATTTGATTTCGTCATGGAAGTATTCCTCTCGTGATATGACTTTCACAAATTAACCGTGTCACAGAAAACATGCCTTAGTAGACCTAAACCATGCAGACAAAACAGCCCTGTTAAGTAAAGACACTTGCAAGACGCAGAGTCTTCTGGACGCCTTGACTAATAGATTTAAAATGTTGGGGCTGTGTTTCTCGTCACATGAATGCAATCTGTTGCTCCAGGACTAGTTTGGTACTTCGCCTAACATTAGGGAGCAGAGTAGTTGGACGCAGAGGCACTTACTTGACTCATTCGTAAATCAGATCAGCCCTGGTGGGTCACCGGTGAAGTTTGGGCACGGAAACGATAGGCTTGCTTGGTCTTTATCATCTCACTACATTCATGGCACTGCTGTGATATCCAGTTGCCTATTAATGGTTGAGTGTACTGCACTGGAGTTTGTTCCGTTCTACCACTAAAGGTAGAGGATATAATAAGGCGCCAAGCGTTCGACAACAGTCGCCTTCGTAACATACGCCGTGTGTCATGGTATCAACACGTCAGTAATACACAAGTTGGGCATAGAACTTGAGGGAGGAGGGGAAAGCCAAGTGATGGGACTGCAAATTTTCATCGTCAAGCCATGGTAGTTGAAGTAGATTCAATCTAGAAAAATGTTAGGGACGGATAAACCAAAACACAGCATCATTGTATGGAGTCTTTGACTGCTAGTCTAGGCCATGTAAGGAAATGTAAACTTACTGGACCGGATTCGCGTGACAACAAAAACCAGCCGTTAGAGACTGTATGTGACATGGCCCAGAACCGATAGTAATGCCCCAGATGTGTCCACACATTATCTGCAGCTTAATTGCCGTACCAAATTTCATTGCTGGTTCATCCCTTCTTTTTCTCCTTGCACGACTACCTACCACTTTTGACTATTTCCTTCCTTGATCCTCTTTCATCTTGCTGCAGCATTCCAGCTTGATGTGCTGATATGAGGTATGGCAAGTTGAACCGTTACACAGTAATACCAGATTCAATATTCATATTAATTGAATAACTACCTAACTTCGACAAAGCTTAGGAAGAAAGCAATATTACCACTTAGGCAGTACTATTTGAAAATGCAATTAAAATACTCATTTCATTAGCTTCAGATAACGTGTTTCGTAATATGATTGTCCTAGAAAGGAAATTTTTTGAGGTTTCCAAAATGGTTGCATAAAAAATGTATAAATATGTAGTAGAGTTAGCCAACTACTGTAATAATAAACCATTCTGGTCAGCATACAATGAACATGTAAACGTTGCGGTATATTACTAGTCTACTAAGAAACTAAAACACCTCATAATTCGCATCATTTCAGTAAGAACACTCGAGAACAAAATCGAAATCTTCCAACTACTTTAATCGTCTATTCCCAAACACATGAGGTATATAAAAGTATATAAAAAGTATGTCAACTTTTGACATTGAAATAAATTCAGAGATGCTGAGGGAATTAACTGGACCGGCACCTAGAAAATCACCTAATGTACCAGTATTCTCAATAATCCAACTGAGTTTAATCCACTAAATTTGTAAAAACGAACTTCGCTTCTAAAAACTATCGAGATAGAACAATTTTCCGTTACTAAAACTTCTGTAACTTGCGTACAATACATAAAAGCTTTACGGGAAAGATAAAATTCCCAAGATTTTTAACAGCAAATAATGGACTATGGCTGTGTTAATTTCAAGCAGATATTTGGGTAATCAACTCCAGAAATACGGAGCGTGAGTACCAAAAGAGAACATATTACCATGAAATTTCACAGTTGATAAGCATACTGCTTTTCTTTGTGCGTTTCAATAGTTTAGGCACTCAAATACTGTATCACGGGCTTAAAGCCGGTTTCAACCACCAGGGTCTTAGAAACCGGGTTTCATTGCTACCCCTCACACAACAGATGTGGCCCATTGCCTAGTTATGAAACCAATATGTGGCAGCTGAGTCCCATACTACTCTTTCTTAGTAAGTAGCGTAAATGAAACACTGAAACTGATTCTTCTGACAGATCAGTGTTCTGTGATATATAGGGACAATGCTACACAAAAAATAGGTGGAATTACTTAAGTTCCTTAATGGATTTGTTTACTTGTTAAGTAACAGAATAAAGCAGTCTTGTTTACTAAATAACGCTTAGAGTATGATTTATTCATAGTAATTGCATTATTATAACATTATTTCGGTGTTAACCGAACAGCTGAAAGTCAGTTGATAAGAAGGTACGTAGCATAAGCTGTAGGCAGTGATAAATCAAAGCAATGTGGTGACGTTTTTGCAATTCATGCGTTTTGGTATTTGATAGGGGTAGCTAAATCATCAAGCTTTGTGACTTCATAAAGAAGCAACATTTCCACTGATTAGCCAATGAGAAGTGGCTCATTCTATGTTATCTAGTCCTACGTGTTGATCGAGCTCTATCGATCATTTTGCAGTGTGACTTCCACACCAAAAGACTAGCTGCTAGATTACACCATATTATGTGGTTGGATGCCGTTGGTAAGAAGTTACATCTGCAACCTGAAATAGATATAAGTTCCAACTGTAATATGTCTTACTGCAGAGCTGGGTGACGGATTCAGATATCAGGACGGGCATAAATTTTCTTAAGTCTTAGCTAGCCTTGATTACCATAAACCTATAATACCATCCATTTCTATCAATACACCTTTTAACATATATTCAACTTCAAAAATAAAAGCAATACCTTTATGGCTCACTATATTACCTATTAACGTACTTCCAGTTATCTTCTAGAGACATATAGCCAACATTTAATGGAGTTACTCACTCCATAGAAATAATCAGCAGAGGTAGGAACTTTCATATGCAATGGCAGGGAATATAAAATGCGTCAAATCCTATGTTCCGATAAGAAAACTAGTGAATGCTTATGCATCGATATAAAAAAACAGGTGTAAGTTAACAGGTTATATTTTACTTCAAAATTCAGACGTTTATTGTCAGTCGTATGTGAAATAAAAGGAACTATTGTATGGAGTGAGATAATACATTTAACTTTCAAATACAAAAATAAACAGATTATCAAGAGATTACTATGAGTTTGACTATACAAAAGATGTGCGAATTAGTCAGTGTTGGTACAATAGGATATACACACATGGTGATTTTTATTGTTCGGTCCAAATATGGTGACACTTCATACACGAATACTTAATTGTGCTAGGTTCGTCAGCTGAACGGGTTTGCATCTGAACAAAATACGCTCGTGTATGATCACATTTGGGGCACTTCTCGTCTATCTGAGCAGAAGAACTATATTCATCTTCAACCGAAAAAACAGCATCCTCTTCTAAGCGTAAGCGTAAATCCTGCCTCGGCTTATGTTCTAAAACCAGTGGCTGTGTAACAAACCACCGGTAAGAACAAATAGGAGCAGAACAGTTCAATGAATAACAGTGAGCCGACTCTTGAATCATCAATAAAGAGTGGCAAAAAGGGCAAAACAAAACAGGCATTGCTCAGTGTGATAGAGAAGATGACATCTAGTTTCCTACGGACATCGCTACTTCACATGAAGTGTGAAAATGCCTAGAAAGAAAAAAGAGTAAAGAGAGATCACTGTGTGAGAGCGAATACACTTTTAACATTGCAGCAGTTACAAGAAAATATCACATTGGAAGGCAGGCACAAAACTGAGTATAGAGTTCTATGCGATGCTAAAACTGTTATACGCAGATAGGACAAGTAGCACGAAATCCAGATCTGGAAAACTGCAAATTGAAATTGCATATTAAGATGTTCACATGAGTGGGTGTAAACAAAACCAACGCAATTATTAGTATAAACACACGTGCATGTGGTCAGAGTGCGTTAAAAAAAGATGACATATAGCGTTACGCTAACAGGTGAGCAGGTGTCTAAAATATCCTGATCACCTCAATCGGTGTACATTGCACTTATAATGTAAGTTACATTTGTTGTAAATGACATATAGATAACCCTAGTAAGATGTATGACCTTTAGTTAATTCCCGGTTTTATGTTAATTGGTTGGAGGCAATAGACAGGAAGCACTTCGCCCATGTTTTGTACTTGTTGACACTTCCCGGAAGGTGCATCTGTATTCTCAAGAGGACCATTACGAGGTTCATACCTGTTATCTGGTGCTACATTCAGAGACCTTATCACTAAGCTATTCGACCAGCGACTGGTTACCTGTGGAATTGGATTACATAAATTAATAGGCCACAGAAGAGTAACCGATTTCATGTTTTCTTATCTCAAATGTTGACAGGATTCTACCACTTATTTCACAATGTGGTCACCAAGCTAGGAGACTCACCATCATCGTGCCCTTTCCTTGATGTTAGTTGACAAGGAGTAATCGACAGGAAGCCCGGAAACTAGGTTTTGTGTTTGTTGATTTCAGATACGCCTTGCAAACAGAGTTGCTCATTATTTCACCATTTTTTACTTGAAGTAGCAGGAGGAATATCATAAAAAGTAATCTTTCAGTTAAGTACAAACAAACTTGAGACCTATAAGAAAGATGTTAAGGAACAAATGAAGAAAATCACCTTTCAGATCGAACAGCTTTCATCTAAAAGTAAGAAACGAAGTTCCTCCGCTATTTAATCAGAAGTTACTTCTGATTATTAATTAACCATTTTATTAGTTGATGCCTAATGACTAATTTGACGTGGCTTGATTTTATACATTCATGTATGACTGGCATATCCAGCCAGCTTAAATGTACGGTAGGCATATTGATGTTTTGGTGCTTCGATTAGGCTTGAGATGACTTCAAGAACTTGGGCTCCAGATTACCAATTCTAATTACAATAGTGCATTATGTGGACCACTCAAGGCCCTAGTGCATCTTACCCAACTGATCGGAAAGCACCCACAATCTATTTAAACAGGTACTTATTAAGTTAACTTAACCAGCAGACGGTAAAATGGTGCGGACAGACCATGGTAAACTCGTCTTAATAAATGAACACAACACAGCCAAAATGCTTACTTTGTCACAAACCTCATAAAAAAGCCAAGAAAATTTATGATTATATAAGTTACTTTATTAGCGCAGTTTGCAACCTCACGAACAATAAGTTACAAAAATTCAATTCACTTACCACATGCTCTACAATCAATACTTTAAAATAGAAAAATTAGGAAATAAGGGCAAATTAAAGATCTTTGGAGGCATAATTTTGCACAGTAGCTAACAATTCAATTTTCAGTTTCCGCCAAAATAGCCAATTGCTTTATTCAGTCTTCTCAACTCCGTTAACATTATCACTGCCATCTGTGCAACTGGACTAAGTATTTAAGATGTTACAGAAGTAACTTTACGAGCCCACGACGTGATCTTATCCTGTTGGTAATATAGTGGATCTATTATTGTGCGTACACGATCCACGACAACCAAGGAATATAACCAACTAATACTGTTCACGACATATTTTAAAATACACGCTGCTAAATTTGACAACTCACAATCAGTCAATTCACAGACAATTAGAGACAACAGAACGCTCACTTTGCACCCGGTGACCAATAAAAATTGATGACATAAGAATAAGTTAATTTCAAAAAGTTCATGATCAGGTTACTAAATAGTGACTCAGTATACCAAGACAATGAAATGCATACCAAATTTGGATACCTCCAAGTTTTTAGCAGGGGCTTACATCGATATACATCAGAATATATCATGGAAGTCGAAGAAAATAGAAATGAGCAGCTCACATTTTGCTGCGGTATTGTTATACGCAACATAATATAACATTCTGACTCTACCTTAAAGAATGAAATATCAACATTAGTACAACGGGAAGATAGCATTCCTTAGCAGTTCGTTAAGCTCGTAATAGCATCAACGCAGAAACGATGACCTGCTGACGGATATTCTGTTTTGCGAGTTACGTTTAAGATTGTTAGCTCCCAAATAAAGATGACATACATACTTAGTTCCAGAAACTGAATCTTAATTCGTAAACTGGAATAAGTCTTGGCAAACCTAACTACTTAGCTAGTAGTAGAATATACGAGTCCTAAAAGCTTGAAACAGAAAAAACATGTTGACATCTTAGATACCATAAAAAGACCATATACAACATTTCTCTCAACGTAGAGAATGTTTCTTTAGTTATAACCAACAAAATTATTACTGGCCTGAATTTACAAGTAGCGTCGATGAGCAGTATGCTCAATGATGTAGGCTAAAATAAGTAATACAAACAGTAGCTCACCATGGTGCCTAGTAGTGACGCAATATGAAAATTTCAGGTAACACAAACAAACGATTCAAGCAGATCATTACTAGACTACAGAATCCCATGTGATTTATATTTAGGGAAAGCAATTTCCAAAGACTTTTGACTTACAGATATTTTCATGTGACTTAATAGCGTACAAGTTAAATGGACCTCCCACGATGCGATGACTTCAATCAACGTTGAATCTTCCAGTCCGATATTGTAAGACTTTCAATCTCGAGTTTCTATAGGTAACTAGTCTCAGTTTCTGTGGCGATTATTCGTCACAGAGCTTGTTTCTGCTTACTTCTGATCACTGCTCTACTACAAGCAGAAAATATCGGCTAGGTAGATGTAAAGACTTCGATTAAGAAAGTCACTCCGTGAGCTTTCTTGCACAGTTGTGAGCCATCAATAAATACCTTGAGCCGATAGAGAATTGTGTTGCCATTCGTTATTACAGTGGCTTGTATTGGAATTCCACAAGGAAATAATAAACCAGAGAAACGATTACATTGATTTCTCATTTGACACTAATGATAATCACTTCATTTCAAACAATTTTAAACATGCTGTGGAACTCTCTGGACTTTTTAGTGCGCTAGTAAAGGTCGGCAGGGATCACTGGCAAAAAATGAGCCAGATGCAGAAATTAAAAATGCAAAAGTAGAGGCTGAGCTATACCAGAGAATTTATGTAGCACGTTAGGTGAAAGACTTTTTAGATAGTCAGCCAAGTACAAGACGACCAGCAAAAATCAAAAATAAAGCTCTATCTAGGACAGCTAACACTCGATGTACTTTTAAAGCGACACCATCAATGAGGTGGGAGTCAGTGAACCTAAACAGCTCACACGAGTCCCATACACGCCTGAAGCCAAAATTGACAATCGGACGTTTAGAAAGGTTTAGTTTGAGACCACTAAAGAAATGCAGTTGGTTCATTTCGGACGATGAAGCAACTGACTGAGAGCAATCCAAGTAAGAGTTAACGTGAACAGAAACCGTTAGGTCATCAGCATACTTAGCAAAATTAGTTAGTCATGCGAAAAGAAAGAAAATAAAAAGGGAGAAAGTATTGCATTTTGAGGCATACGGACCTTGTTAAGCAGTTACATGTAGCCCTCCCCTCTTTAAACTGTATACTGTTTCTCTTCAGAAAAATAAGAATCCAGCCACCTTGAAGCTCACGCCCCAGTTTGGGCAGTGGAAAACTTATGTAACAAAAGCGGTCTGGGAGGAAAGTCAAAGGCCGATGTTTAGTCTAAGAAGGCACAGTGAACACACATAGCGTCCTTGTCTGAACTGGAATCGCTGTTACGATGCAAGGCAGTGGGAGCATATAAACTGCTTCTGTGTCTGTAGGCAAGCTGCTTCGGATATATGTAGGCCTTCAATGAAGCTACGAGCCAAACTGGGGTAATTTCTCCATTGGCTTCAAAAGATGGGAATCTGTAGGAGTGGGTAGAAACTTAACATTCGATCTAGAATATGATTTGTGACAGTTACAACTTTAATCTCTTTCCAGCTGGTGGGTGCTGCATTTTTGGAAAACAATAAAATAAAGAAATCCGTGGGGAGATGAGATTAAACATCTGTACATTTTCAAAATATAATACTCGAAACACCATCAAGACCTAGGCTTTGTGATGAATTCAGGAATTTGGAACATCCAGATATGTGGTTTGTATTAAAGCCAGGAAATCGGCCATCCAATTGACCTTTGACATTAGGAAGGATGAAACTGACTTGCCAGCGTATTAAAGACTGTTTGAACTTACGGACATCAGAAAGAGCTTTTTTCGCTACCTATTCCCACCATTAAGTTCTAAATAATTTCCATATATTGAAAGAGTTCATTCGCATCGTAAACTTCTGGTTGTAGACAGTATTTAGACGTATTTCGGACTTCATTGGACAGTTAATTCTGTTAGCAGCAGGGTAATCTCTCGTTTTATAAGACTTTTCCCTTCCTCTTCGGAGCATCTAGAGACGAAAAGATGAATTTCCATCAAAACTCATGATTGCTTCAGCAGTGCAGCATACACTAAGAGAATATGAGGTAGCTTGTGACACTGACGATGGCGTCATTTGAAACTAAATTCAGCAATATATATCGGTGTTTCTTTCAGCATACTTCTCAAACATAGTACATTCTCCTGCGAAAAATATTTGTGTTAAAATCCCGTGGAAATGTCCACAAGCCTTCTGATATGAATCGCCACACTTCGGGAAGAACGCGTACAACACAGCAGTCAGAATTCTGCGGTGGGGCTCCTTAGCGGACTTCATATATGCTGCGGTCACTTTTAAACTCCAAATCTAGTGTGTTATCAGGATGAGCATAAAAGTAAGCCTTATTTTCTTGACCCAATGATGAAAAGAGACCGAAACCACGTGAATTGAAGTCTTTGCAGACCATAGGCAACTGGTCAACCAAAGTCCTGGTGGCAGATTTCACGCACTCGTCAGCAAATGCTGGTAAATCTCAGAAGTAGCGGTCAGGTGGGCAAAGATTTTGTGTTTGTGTTTACCCAAATGTTTAGAACAACAGTTGAGTTATGCAATCAGTCTTGTGGTTGGAAAAGCTGAAGCACTCGTAGTCGGAGATGGATCAGTGTTCCTTGTTAAGCGTCGCCATACCCCTCACCACATTTCTTCTCGGAAGAGCACCGATGTTGTCGAAATAATTCTAAATTACTTAGACAAACTTTATCGCTGCCAAACAGGTTACAAGCTTATGTTTCCCGCAACAATATCGCACCCTTATTCCGATAAAAACATGTGAACAAGAGTAAATGAAGATAATCAACGTTCTTCGGCACAGACCCGCAGATTTTGCCAAGTGTTTCAAGAACGGCCATTCAGTCTACGGTCATGAGCTTTAAAGCCGGTTGCTATCCACAGTGATAATCCCTTTCAATTTACCCTACAACTAGTAGATTGATCAGCTGTACTAATTTCAAAGATGAATGAGAGTATATGGTACGACTGAAGGACACCATTTAATGACTAGAGCAATGTAGAGTGGTGAAACTTGTTGTGATATATTCCGTGGTGAAATGAAACAGCCCAAAGTTCAAATAGGCAAAATTTACGCAAACCTTTCTTCAGATTATGCTGGTAGCGCTTCCGGTGATAAATTAGTGTTAGTATAGGGACATACAGGTCAGCCCTTCTTCGATATATTCTGACCCGGTGATCGAACTAACATCAATCGCGTCTCAAGTCGGTTATTTGCAACTGCAACGCTTAACTATTTTTCAACAGACGGCACTAGAATCCTTAAAGTACATGTCCATCCGCCGGCTGTAATCACCTTGGTGACCTGCAGTGAAACCCATAACCCACCTTTAATCTCATTCGAGACTCTTCATCTGGATTTAACTGCGCCCCAGTGGGTGGCACTGTTCCCCCTCGGGGCTTGAACCCAGCGCGCATTACTGCAAACGCCAAGGCGTCTTCCACTGCGCCGCTGAGGTTCGCTTGCCCCCGGAACTGCAGCCTACGGATCCCGATGGAGAGGTCCTGCCACTTTGTTTCAGCAGGGAAGATGTCCTGGCGTTCGGAACACAGTGCAATCCGGAAGTGAGTTTGATGTATGTATGAAATAATCAACATTTGAATAGGTGCTTAAGGTTGGTTGTTAAGGAGGGTGGGTTTCCTACACAGAAGATATTAACTATGCTTTTAGAATCAATATCCCAAACACGTACCACCTCTGGCCATCTCTTCAAAAAAATACTGCCGTATCTAATGGAATGTGTTAGAGGTCCGATGATGATGTGGATGTGGTCGAAAAGCACGTCCGGCAGTGGTGTCTAAGTGGCCCTACATATGCCGGATGATCTTTCAGTTTCCACAGGATCCACCTTAATCAGTAGATTCTTTAATGCCTGGAGAGCGGAAGAGCTTGTGATGATGTCTTCAAGTTAAACTAAGTCTGTAGATTCAGTCGACGTCATTACTTAAGTCACCAGAGCCTGATCCAGAAAAACAGCTGAACCTACTCAGAACTTCAGAGCATTCGAGATGCAGCTAAGCAATGGATCTGAAGCTTTTTCAAAATGCCAGTATCCCAGGAGCACTATGAACCAATGAGAAAAGATCTGAATATTATGAATTCATGGGTCCGCCATTCCCGCAAAACTGGTAACAAAGAGAAGGCATCTAGTGAGAATCGAAGTGATTCAGCGAGGAAAAAGTTCTCGCAACAAGACTAACACACGTGTGGTGACTACACATCAGCTGCGTATCATGAATACGCGGAGTTATTGGGGCACTTATCGAAGAGAAGAAAGTTGCACCTACTAGAAGTGTACACACTATGTAAGCGGTGAAGAAATCGGTGTGCACCTGAGTCACAAACGCAGTATGCACCACACCCGAAGTTACTTGGGAATCTCAACTTTGCAACTTCTGAAAAGTGCTCCTATTCCGTCAGTCGTAGTACTAGTATCAACGCTGCATTATTATTATTACTCTGTATTATACTCCTTTCATTCACTTGGATAGGAAGGTTGCGGGTCGCAAAATAGCAGGCATGTCAAGATGCGCCCAAGGGAGCCGAATGTCTGAAGTTGCACCTCTTCTCAGTCCTGTTGGTAGGCTGGGTCTCTTTATGCGCCACTCAAAGGCTTGCGATGTCTCCAGCTGAGATTGGGTAGTAAATTATCTTCTACGTGCTACACTTTCCCTTTAGTAGATGTCAGGTGACGTAGAAAGTGCTACTGTTTTGCACATCACCAGGTGCATGAGAAAATAAAATAAGCGGTGTTATTCAGACCAGTAAAAGAGTCGGGATCAGTGGGTTTGTTCTCGATTTCACAAAGGGCAATCTTAGGGTTCTGAACAAACTAGGTAGCCGACTGTTTAGCCGGGGTTATTTTAGAAACTGGCTGAAACAGCATTACACGCGTAACTATCGGAAATGCAGTGGTGGGTCGAAACTGATAGGCACAGTGAACAGTCATCCGACTGAAAACGGAAGGCAATAATTTGGTTGTTTGACGCGACTTGCAACCAGACTGAGAACGATTTACCGAAGGCTTCGATAAATCATCTGAAAGCGCATTGCTGCTGCGCTGCCTAATAAGACATGGGACGTACAATCAGCACATGTAGGGAGGAGCCATTCAAGAAATAGTTGTGACCAGACAAACGTCGCAAGGGTAACAGTTAAAGCCAAGGAGAGAAACTA